CCTACAGGTACGAGGTTCCGTTATCAAAGACTTGGCTAGTACGCGACCACTACGGTGATTGGTAGCCATCGCCACGAGCCTTATGCTCGTCCAAGTGCGTTAAACCACATGAGTGATACTGCAGGACACAATGAAAAGCCTGGGGGATTACAGGTGCGCCCAAGCATCATAAAGCCGGCACGTTTGCGAATTCACAACTGTGAAATGGCTCCAGCGAGCACAGCAGCAATGGAAGACGATGAAGCTGAGAGCAAGAAGCTTCGCTTAGAAGAGAATCCTCTCGACGATAAAACGTCAACTTATTACCTAAGTGATGAAGAAGACATGGGCGAAGATGAACCATTTACGTTGGTTACTTGTAAAAAGAAACGAGCAGAGGGAATCCCAGTCGTCTTTCGCCCAACACCTGAAGATGCTAGCTTCTGGAAAGTGAACCCCAATTGAGTGTCAGCTGAAGTAGTTTCCGCTGCTAAAGAAAAAGTGGAGTCATTCAGAACGACCAGAGATGGAAGCTTCAGTGTCAGCGTTGCTTCCTTAAGTTCAGCCAAGCGTCTTCTGATGCTTTCAAATGTAGGTGGCCTGGAAGTTAAGCCTTTCATCCCAGAGTCATACACTCGGAACGTTGGGAAAGTAAAACATGTTCCTCTGCAGTATTCAGATGAACAACTCCTAGAGTACTTGAGAGATGCAGGGGTTATATCGGCGCAACGGCCAATAAAATACTACCGCCAGGAAGACGGAGGAGTAACGTCGCGTCCACTTCACTCAGTGATTCTGCCTTTTCGAGATGACCGCCCGATTCCAGGAAGAATCTACTTAGGATTCACCAGTCACCCAGTGGAAGAATATCTTGGTCCAGCACTTCGGTGCTATAACTGCCAGCGATAACTGCCAAGAAACACGCCGGTGCTATAACTGCCAAGAAACACGCCGCTTGTTACAAAGTCAAGCTGCAATCAAAGCAGTGCTTAGGTCACGTGAGCAAACACGACATCGCGCCCAAATATTTCGCACGTAAGACTTTTACTGAAATTGCCGTAGCAATTACCACTGGGCCCATTCCTATCCTTTTAGGACCAACACACGACAAAATCGCTTTGCATCGATACCCATAATCTGTCAGCGCCAAAGAGGAAGGTCAACTTAGAATGACAACAATGATATTTTTATATCACCGACTACACTCACAAAAACAAAAAATAAAGTTATTTATTTATACACTTACTGCAGCGCTAATTGTTCTATGGCATGATTGGGTATACAAGGATAGTCAGAAACATAACGAAAAAGAACGAGAATACCACACCGAGGTAAGTAACATAATGTCGTATGACTATTAGGGTAAAATATCAGAACATGAAAACAAATCGCACCTTTTCCGCAAAGGCAAAACAATGAACGCGATAGTAACCAATTGGAAGGTCATGCGCAGAATGGCAAACTGATCGAAAAGAACCCCGCGTTTCTCACGCACAAATGACGCACGAGACGTACTTACAGGTGTAGATGAACGCGCGTAAGCGTCTCATATGCTACTTCACTGTGTCTGAAAAGCGCACCCTTTTTGCAAATGGAGGCTGTGCAACGATTGCCGTGACCTTCGTGCGTCCCGTAACTACAACAGAATTGTTCCGGTGCAAGCCCAACGACAGCCAAGACGTACGGTCCTCCCCACCGGGACATAAGAGCGCGCGAGAGACTGTCCACTTTCCTCCTCTCCATGGGCCAAAGTACGCGTGAGAGATGAGCGCCGCGGCAAGCTTATTGCGCCATCTTGCTGATAATGCTGAAAACACGACAGTAGCTCTCCCGAGGTGCCCGCCAACAGCGGTAAGTGGTAGATATAAATAGCTTGCCGTTTGAAAGTTGAGAGAGGTATCCCTCGGTGGCTCAGTGGTTAACGCCTCTCAATCTGACGCGGTGGTCCCAAGCTCGATTCTGCACGCCGGAGTCATTTTTTCTGGATTTTTTTCTTTCTTGCGTTTTCATATATATAGATACGTATACATATACGGTGCATGATGCTGACGCCGACGGCGAAATCCAGCCGAGAGTGTCTATGTAATTGCTATCGCAATAAAAGAACAAATACCATTTGCAAACAGATAAGTGTAATTCACACATATTTGTTGTAGATTTTGGCTACAAAGCTACGCGATGAGCATAAACGATAATTGATTGACATGTAGGGTTTAACGTTTATCATTATCAGTGACGCCGTAGTGGAGGGCCCCGGAAATTTCGACCACCTAGGGTACTATAACGTGCACCCAAAACTGAGCACACGGGCCTACAGCATTTCCGTCTCCGTCGGAAATGCAGCCATGCACTGCCGCCGAGATTCAATCCAGCAACCTACGCGTTAGACCGCGTATATATTGACGAATATATATATATATATATATATATATATATATATAATGTCGATACAGCATGTTCACATAGCGGTCACATTTGTTTGCAAACCCTGACGAAGACCAGTCCACCGGTCGAAACCGTTGGTAAAAAAATTAAAAGTCTTGTTCCTTCTCTTCCCAAGTTTGTTTGGCCCATTAGAAAAACCTCTCCAGGAAATATATATATATATATATATATATATATATATATATATATATATATATATATATATATATATATAGTCGACGTGCTTGGAATATGACATATAGGCTCGCACGATCACTTTACCAACACGCACAAAGTAAAACATCAATTTATAGGTAAGTTGACTGCTATGGATTACTTTGTGCACGGCCGTGAGATACGGTTAATGATATTGGCGTACAATTGAGTGGAAGGAATCGCTGCAAAATTGATTGATTTGATTGATATGTGGGGTTTAACGTCCCAAGGTCACTATATGATTATGAGAGACGCCGTAGTGGAGGGCTCCAGAAATTTCGACCACCTGGGGTTCTTTAACGTGCGCCGAAATCTGAGCACACGGGCCTACAACATTTCAGCCTCCATCGGTAATGCAGTCGCCGCAGCCGGGATTCGATCCCGCAGCCTGCGGGTCAGCAGCCGAGTACCTTAGCCACTAGACCACCGCGGCGGGGCCGCTGCAAAATTTCGAGGCCGATTGTTGGTGCCCAACCTACACCCTTGCCAGTGTACAGAACGCTGTCTCTAGCAAGGGACAAGATGCAAAACGGTTGCTAGCAGTAAGCTTATTTGAAAGTGCTGCTTTCATTTGCGGGTGGAGCACTGTTACATGTTATATTTTCATATTTATCACTCTTTTTTTATCAACGAAAAATAAGCCTGCAAATAATACTTTGTGGAAAGTAGCACACAAAGATGTCATTTCAACATGCGCACATATGCCTGAGTGACATTTTGATAAACAGGTGAGTACTCTTTGAGTTACAAAGATAGTTACGATTATTTTTTTTCACAAAAATCAGCATTGGCTCCTAAAATTTACTAGGAACAATATGTACTAGGTTCGCTTCGCTTGACACTATTGCTTTCTTTTTTTTTATCCTGTTGCATGATATTTGGCGCTTTCTACAGCGATATGTGGCGCTCTCAGACTACGCTTTGATATATGTAGTGAGGCACGTACTCACGTATTGAAATAGGACTCTCGAAGTTGTGGCCGCCGGTGCACGTACACTTGTGGGTGCTCATAAAACCAAGGTGTTACACACATTGTTGCGTATAATGTTGAGGAAGAAAACATCTACACTGAAGGATTGCTGCTTCATATCACCAACGAGTCGGCCACCCGTAGCGTATCATGTGCACACTGCCAGCGTGGCGCTGAAAAATTCGCGCGTTTTCGCACGCCGACTCAACTGGCTTGCCGGTGTGCACCACTCTAATTGCGGCGCGAGCAGACGACTCATTCTATGCGCTTTGGCGATGACGCACGCATGCTGTGCGAGTAACACACGCGATTCAGCTGAGAGACTGTGTCCTGTGTGCGTTCACAGGCATGATAAACATCTGCACAAGAGCACAGAAAATTTTTTTTCGTGTTTTTGTGACGACAAAAGAAGAAAAGAACGCAGTCCTGTCTTCGCACAACATTGATATAGTGTCTCGGTATTTTTGTTTGTTCACCCCAAGCATGAAGCCAATGCTACGGCCATTCTGTGCAGCAAACTTTCTGTGAGGCTATATCGGCTATAGCCACACTGGCAGTGTGCACATGGTGCACTACAGGCCGGCCCTTTGACGACCGCAAGCTGCAATCCTACTCCGTAGGTGCTCTCCCTCTCCTTTTATATACCCCAATGCAACAACTTGGTTCCACGAAAACCCACGAGTGGCGTTACATGTACTGACGGCCCCCACTCTGAGCGTTTTATTTCCGTCCATGAGTACCTGCCTAACCAAAAATATTGTTCGATGGTATCATATAAGTGTATTCCTGCAAGTGTATTCTGCATCAGCGTTAAAAGGTGAAATAAGCAGGACAAATTATATGATACTATCGACCCTTCTTTGACCACAAGAGTGCGTGTATGCTTGAGCAAAATGCGCCAGCGTGATGGAACCTCGCTGTGGTGAGCTTCGTTTGACGAAAGCTGGAAAGCCGTGGTGGCACATGTAGTTATAACTCCGAATACTCCTCATGGTTTCACAGCTTACGTGAGCGAATAACTATACTGAGAGCGAAATTCTGATAAAAGAAATGCTTGTGAGAAAAAATGTATTCCCTGCTTCTGCTCTCGCTTCGTGGTCTAAATTTAGGGGGTGATTAATCCTCGAGAAGATCCGCTCGTGTTACTTTTGCACAGCACTTCACTATATACATTAAATAGCAAGCAAAAAACACAGAAAAACGTAGTGGAGGACGTGAACTATGTAAGCTGAAAACAAAACTTTTGGGCTGCACTCCGCACCCAGTTTGTAAACCAACTATTAGCGATGCCTCCAGGCTTGTCGCCACCACACGCAATCCTCTTTATTGTTATTTTTCACGGAATATATCAACGGCCGCATCTCTAGTGTCACTCTCTCACCCACGAGAAATGAGGAACACAGTGTCTTACCTGCTGCTCTTTCTCGTACTCAAGCTTGATGCGCGCCTCGATGCACTCCTGGGTGGAGGCGAAACTGCGGCTCTGCGCTGCGTCTCGCATGTGGCGGTGGTACCAGCCCACAGCCGTGGCCATCGCCAGGAATAACGAAGCGGCGGCAACCTGCGCACGGCATGTACCAAGCGTTGACGTAGATGTTAATGTTAGTCACTCTGATAAACTGGTTCTGAAAGCTTTCATTTAGCAATAGTTGAAGGTGCCTGTGCGGAAATTATAAAAACGTGGGTGCCATTCTGTTACGAATTAAACCCTGCTGTATGTTTCCACAAGCATTCAATTATGTCCTTTAGGTATACTGCGTAACTACATGGTTAGTTGGATGCAGCCTTCGCCCACAATAAAGTAATTTTGGGTACTAAGAACACACCAAGCACGTAGGCAAAGGAAGGGGGGGACGGCCCCCCTCCTCGAAATTCTTCCAGTCAGTCATATTTCCCGGCAACTTTTTTTCTCTTTGCTATGAAAAGACTTTTTTTTCTTATTATAAGGCCTTGTCCCCCCTCCCCGAAAAAAAAATTCTGTCCAGCAACATATCGTAGAGTGTGGACGACGTCTGTCTATACTGGTCGATCAGCAGCAAACTACGCGGGCAGCCCAAGCTGAGCGTAACTTCGGGCTGTTTGATACCTATGTTTGTTCTAATAAAGAAGCTTGGCCAGTTTTTTTTTTTTTGGGGGGGGGGGAGGAGAGGAGGTTCAACAGTACTGCATGAATGTCCATGCGTGCGTTTGTATGTGTGGGCGTATATAATACACGCACGTGTAAAATTGAAATATTTCACTAAGGTTAAACCCCCTTCCACACCCACCTACAACCCCTGGCTACGCGAGTATTCTAATACAGCGCACATATCACAACCCTGAGGCATGACCAAGCACACTATTATTTATGGCATTTGTCTGTTTTTTTCGTGAAGATAGCTGCTACTCCTTGCGGAGTGCTGCCCAAAGGTTGTGATGGAATTATTAAATGGGGTTTAGTTTTACAAAAAAAATAAAGCGCTCTTAGCGAAAGAAGTACACTAATTGGAAGCGTGAAACACAAGTAGCACGCTCGGATGTGCTCTTGTTCGCCATTATTATGCGCTTTATTTTGCAGCTTACGTTAATCATAAGTCTTCTCTCACATAAAAACTTGCAGCAAAATATAATTTTTGGTGAGTCTGAGTGACCTCATATTTTCTGCCCACCTATGGCTACAAGTTAACCAAAACAAAATTTGTATCTAAGATTGACAGATATTCAGTAGCTCAGTACAGCTGCCTCCTGCAGTGACCAAAGAAACTGAAAAATAAAATAAAATGAAAAAGACAAGTTGAAAAAAAAAACACTTCAATTTGTCTGAAGTTTCGTTTCAAAGCATTTCTTGCATGTTCGGAGCGGCGACAGAATAGGAAGGGGTACAACAATCATTCTTCATATACACCTAATTTAAACCAAACCATTTTTTAAACCGACCATGCTAGTTGAGCAGGTAAGGTCAACTACTGCTACGCTCGTGGACTTGAGTTCGAGTTCCGGCCACTGCGGCGCGAACAAAAAAAATGCGTAGATAGATTTTAGGTGCAAACAAAAGAACCTCATATAGTACAAATTGCTTGGGAGCCGCCCATTACGGTATGTCTAGTTATACGGTGGTATTGGCACGAAAACTCCCGAAATTAACTAGTCCAATGTCTCATAATGCCGATGAAAGGCCCAACGTAAAGGCCTTCCGGAACAGCACTGTGCTGCTTAAAGATTAAGGAAGGTATACGACATCTTAAACGAGTTAAAGTTTCTGCAGTTTTTTTTTATTGTGAAAGACATTCGGGGCTTGCAAGAATAGAAGGCACCGAGGCAGCACAGAATTAATTATTGCCAAACTGAAGAGTATTATTATTATTGCATGCGATCTCAATCGAGTTTTCGTTATGCAGGCTGACTTAAGAAGTACCTAAAAAATTAGGCCACTGAGGCCTGCTCTCACGAAACAATCTGTAATCTTACTCATAAACTTTTCCCTATGAACATGCATTCAGATTACTCTAATTAATTTTGTACAATCAGGCGCCGAAAAACTGAACGTACAATAAATATGACCTTCAATATTTAGTTAGAGTGAAGAACATAATGATAACTAATTTATTTTGTATGGTAACCTGTGAGATATATGAGCTGAGGCATCGCAGCGCTAATATCATTGCTAGAATTTCAGCCTCAAATACTGAAACCAAGATAAAAATTGAAATGTAGAAATAACCTGTAATCAATAATAGCGGGAAAATAGGCATACCCAACATTTCTTTATAATTTGAAACTTCTGTGACATTGTCTGTGCGAAAAACTACACGCTTGAAACGGTCGCCCGATATTTCATTTATGTATAGGACCGTTTCTCTGCGCTGTGCATACAGATAACAAACTATTTATAGCGGACTGCCGATATTAAACACGCAACTCCCTGCTTTAGAGGCTGAACGAACACTGCCTGAGCGGAGTGGAATCGCGTTTTATGGAAACGTCACGATATTTCGGCTTCCACTCACTATGTGATGATTCCGTCCAAACCTTGAAGGCTTTCAATCTCTACGTATACGCCCTCAATTATGCTTGACGGCTAAGCACTCAAATAGAGCCGTTCACCAACCATCCTGCTTTTTTGCCGTTATTCGTGCTGAAGAGTTAGCCCCATTTCTCACACATCTTCGTTTTAATGTTCGATGATGTTTGGGAAAAGGTTTATAATAACATACGAATATCAATTTTATTATATCTTCAGAATGTTCATGCAGACTTGTACAAGCATATGTAACACAGCTTTTTTTTAGCTCATCTTATGGAACAGAGCCATGAGTACTTTTCCTCACTTTTAACCCTTTGCGGCCCTGTTGTCCGGCCCCTACCACCAACTCAACACAACCACAGCGGCTCGTGGTCAGGAGCTGCTAGACAAATGGTTTCGTGGTTGATTCGCGTAGGCTTCTTTCCATTGCATTCTGCGTCCTCTCTAAATATTGAAAAAAAAAAACATTTGTAATTGCGAAGAATTCTTTAGCGAACTTTGACTGACTTTGAGCGTATCTATCTATCTATCTATCTATCTATCTATCTATCTATCTATCTATCTATCTATCTATCTATCTCTATCTATCTATCTATCTATCTATCTATCTATCTATCTATCTATCTATCTATCTATCTATCTATCTCTATCTATCTATCTATCTATCTATCTACTATCTATCTATCTATCTAGCTGTCTGTCTGTCTATCTATCTATCTATCTATCTATCTATCTATCTATCTATCTATCTATCTATTGATCTATCTATCTATCTATCTATCTATCTATCTATCTATGCCATTTATGACTTTCAGCTCTCCTTGCCGTTTTGATAATGGTATCGATACCAAAATTGGTATGGAATAACATAACGGTATGACGAGCATAAGTGATTAGTGGTAACATGAAAATAATGACATGGTTGTCATGAATGTTAAGATTTGAATTTCATGTTCTTGATGTTGTTGCGGTGGTTGCGTTCACATGACATGTTGCAAAAATCGTATGCTATACATGTCTGCCTGATGAACACACTCGACAGACCCTAACGTGGAAATCATGACATGCGTGTCATGTAACAACATGACTACATGGCATGCGCATGATGTGCTCACGGCCGTTTCACTTGGTTGGCAAATACAAAAAAAATTTGGTATTACGTGACGCGAACGACCGACAAAGGTAAATTACTCGTCCAAGCATGACAATCGTGACTTGCGTGTCGTGTAACAACATGACTACTTGCCACACTCATGATGCGCTCGCGGCCATTTCGCTGGTTTCACATATACCAAATTTCGTAATACGGGACGTGAATGGATGAGAAAACTGGGTGGCTGGTGCAAATATGATAATCATGCGATGCGTGTCATGTAACAACATAACTACACACCACGCTGATAATGCACATGCGGCCGTTTCGCTAGCTTCACATATACCAAATTTGGTATTATGTGACACGAACGGACGAAGAAGATAAATTACACGTCCAAACAAGATAATCACATTATGCGTGTCATGTAAAACATGACTACGTGCTAGTCTCATAGCTTGCTCCCGGCACTTTTTACAAGCCGACATATACGAAATTTGGTATCACGTGACGTGAGTAGACGACAAAGGTAAATGACACGCCCAAACATAATAATCATGACATGAGAGTCATGTAAAACATTAATTAATGGCTCGCGACCGTTTCGCTAGCTCCACGTATACTAAATTTGGCATCACGTGACGTGAATAGACGACGAAAAAAAAAATGACACGTCGAAACATAATAATCATCACATGGAAGTCATGTACGGCATAATTACCGCCCGCTTCGTAGCGTTGTGCTGATGTTAACGTGTGTAAAAACGTAACACAGACAATACCCTTGCTACGGGCTTGCTTTTTTATTATGACTTCATTCTCCTCTACCTCGCAGTATAGCATCTAGCGTGGGCCCGTGCCCCAGTGACGGTGTAATCCTCACTCTGTGCGATGACTGCGACGTAGCGTGACGAGCTGCGGATTGTCTCTGGCGGGCGACAGTGACTGTACTTGATTGGTTGTTGTTTGGCAGGCCATGAAGTGTCTTGTTGAAGCGCTGAAGACTCAGGCGGCGAGCTTGGCTGCCTCGTTGTGGCCGCAGGTCTCAGTCACGCTGCGACATCGCAGGAAGAGCTGCGGAAGTGGTCTCTGACGGGTGGCCTTGACTAAGCCATGGTGGTCGTTTTTGCGTATGCCAGGACTTGCCCTGTTGTGCTGTGAAGCATTCTGGGGAGCGACTGCGTCAGGGTAGTCGCTGCAGGTCTCATCTATGCTGTGAATGAATGTCATCATGTGTGAAGTAAGGGGCACACACTGAGTGGATACTTCTTGACCGTTCTTCGTGCGTTTAGGGGCTACAATGCTGCAAATTGGATATTGGTGGCATCGCAGGGCAACGTTCACGTATTGGCTTGTGAGGTAGATTGTTACCTTGCGGAATTGCCGACGTCGTACTTCTGGTGGCTTCTGACAAAGTGTGATATGTGGCCAAGTGATCTGGGTCAGAGCCCTGATAATAAGGTGAA